AAATAATAAAAAAATAATTATTATCAGCTCAATTAGTACTCTGCGCCTCAAGCCATCAAGAATTGGGTACAGAGCAAACATTCATAGAAAAATCTCATGACAATATCCTGATTTAAGTAGAAATACTATACAATGCTACTGAATTACTATCTCAATTATGTCCCATTGACCTAATTTAGCCTCTTAATGGATCAAAAAATAGTGTAAGAAGCAGAATATGAAGTGGTCGAAAAAGTATCGCCTACTTATCAGGACTTTATGTGTGTATGTGAAGGTTTACTTGCTTCCCGTGATGCCATGGGAGGCCTGCTACATTCTCGATTGCGTGTGATGAACGAAACCTCGTTATCTGTGGAAATAATTGGCGATTCACTCCTAGTCAGAGCGATATTAATAATTCATAGACTGGCTGTTCAGCAGCTAAGGACACAATTCGTGGTTAGTGGACTTAGTTCGAAGACTGTGGGTAAACCTACTGTTGAACAATGCTATAAAGTTGAAGGTGAGAAAAACAGGTTAATTTTGATGCACCTGTGATAAAAATCTATTTGTTTTACACGCTCGTAACGGGTCAACGAGGAGCACATGAAGCATTCTAGACAAAAATTAACTTGAGCTAAAAATGTGATTTATTCATATTAGCCATTAAAATAATATACCATGATAGTTTAATGGAAGGAGAAAATTCTAAAAGCGATCAAAAAAGAAAATGGAAGGTGCCTTTAGATGGTGTCTAATCTACAGACCTCAAAATATTATTTTTCGTTTATTAGCAGAGTCTCGAGACTACCAGTAAATCAGATGTATGAGTTGTTTTCACCCTATTCAATGGAAACTTCAGCTATACTCATATCGTTGTGGGAAAATTCAACTACCAGTCCTTCATTACTTCAGACGAAATAGGGTGATGCATCTCATATATTACAATATTAAAGCATTTAGAATCGTTTATGCTTTAACTGAGAATTGAATGCACACATGTGTATTTTGGTGGATCCACATTTCTTATGACTAAACTGCAAGCCTACCTTCAGATTTGTTGATGAGCTTGTCGACCGTGTGGGCGATCGAGCCAGCTCCAGGCGTTATTTTAGCAATTAAGTACTTCCAACAAACTATGAACAGTGTTTGCCTTAAGGGTAGATAGCTTCCGTTGAGATGCAGACCCCTTACTGACCACGGGGTAACCAAAGGACAAGTTGGAGTGTCATCAACAGTATCTTTGCTAGTTCTGGCAGAATCTGACTAAACATCGTTTGAACTCTATTTCTTATATTAGCGCAATAGTCAAGTCTTTATGGATCCAACGGCTAGAGATAAGTTAGAGACAGGTAGATGGACTGATAGATAAACAGGTAGATAGACAAATTGACGAGTATACCGATTTTACATAGCCTCTGGAGAAAGCAGAGATTAGACTTAAGTTCTGGCGTCACGTGAGCTCCTCTGACAGCGTTTAAAATGTTGCTAATACTATGAAAAAGGAAATATTCTTACCTTTCTTTGAAAATCTCAGCATGTTGTGTGTGTTTCATTTAATCATTTAACCAAGCCAACAATAGAATGTTGTCGTTCTACATTGAAACTAATCCAAACAAGTAGAACCACAACATTTCTGAGTTGGTACACAAGAGACTTTGACATAGAAAGTCATAGACTTGGCACTATAGATGTATGATAGATGCGGTGTAGACTAGAGCTACAGTCGACGTGTTTGATCATAGACGTGGTCCATGAAGCAAAGGCTTGATCATGAGAATTATTGGGGTTCTTTAGCCTTAATTTAATTTCGCAAAGGCAGAGAGTATGAAATAACGCCTCGAGTAGCACAGATGCGGTGGCAGGGATCGAACCAGGGAGATAGAAGATGGATCTTATGGGGCAAGAGGAAGACTTTGACAAGACCTATGAGAGACTGACCGCGGAACAATATGGCAGACTCTGGTCAACATTCACAGCACAAGGGTGAGGGGGTGTTTGGATAGTTCTCATGAAATCCGCTCAAAAGGGAACACCATACCACATTTAAATAAGGAAGTACAATTTGTTATGCTGAATGGGAGATTAGAGGATATAGGATTGGTGATTAGCCCAGGGCGGAAAGAAAGATACCACGATCGTTTAGCAGACAATTGGTCAAAGGATCGGCTTCACATGTCTTTTCGACGAGTTGTAGTGTAGTGCTAAGACGGGCAAGTCTCATTGATGATGCCGACTACGATGCCGATTCATAGTCTTGAATGTGGTATGTAGGATTATTTATCTTTCGGTGCACTTAATGTCCTTTTGTAAATCCGGATTTGATCTATTTTGAACCTGTTCATATAGAAACATCTTATTTGCTCCGCAGTCATAGGTAGTGCTTAGCTAAGGTTGCTTCGCTTGTTGTTCTATAGAGTTAAAGATGAACTCTACTCGCTCGATCCTACCAAAAATGGCTCCTTGGTTGCTTTGCCTGTATATAACATAGTTTTATGTCCACTTTTCAACGCGTAAAACTATTTTTAAGTCTACATTAGTGGGATCTTGGCTGGGCTCTTAATTTCTTATGTAAAAGGAGAGTAATAGCTTTTTTCGAGATTCCTAGATTGCGTATAATATTACCAATGATGGATTCAAGAGGTGGTATGATTTTGTATGGAAATTCGCTGCATTTTTCTTTTCAAAAGGTCGGCGTTATTCTAGATGGACCATAGTTTCAATTTTTCCAAGCCATCTCTACAGCCCATCTAATGAGATTATAACGGTGTATTCAGAATACTTGGTGAATTGACAAAAATGCCTGTTTTACTGGAAGAGTTCAAGAGACAAAATTTGGAGTGAAATTATGTATTAGGTACTAAAAGGTTGAAATCTTATATCTGTGAGAGTACAGGTCTGTGTAAAGTTTGGCCAGAACATCATTCATTTTCACTCGACCGGTTAAGCTGATGAATTTCAGTGAAGTGCTGAGATTATCTAAACACAAGTGCATCGATGCCTCTGTCAAGTAAATTAGTGGGATACATAATAAATGATTTTTTCAACTTTGCTATCTCTATTTACGTGTCGAGTCAATTGTATTGAAATGTAAAGGCCTATTAATTGAGAGGCCCTCTCAACCCGATATATTTTGAAGATGGAATCAAAAAGAATTCTTCTAGATCTAATTGCATCTGGCCTCCGGTCCTTGTATCAGCCAGCTTCGTGTTTCCTACAGGCTCTTTGCATGATCCAATACCTAAATTTTTTCCTATTTTATCATGGCCAGTACATCATGACTGTATATGCATAGGGAAATTTTTGCACTTAATCTAGCATTTATCCTAATAGGGCTTGTAACCAATGCCTGATTTTTAGGTCCAGAAAGTGGATACTATCGAAACCCTATAAAACAAGAAAAAATAGCCTCTCTCGTTTGCCTTAAAGTGTTCCTTATCCAAACAATTTCTTTGATGAGGGAAGACGCATGTGCACCATCTTCTTCAGCGCATCTTCGTCAAGAAGGATTTTAATTCTCATTCGTGGGAGCCGCTTCTGATAGGCCTAGATAATTTCTGTCTCTTGCGCGCCAGAGGGAGAAGCCCAAGTTTGTGGAGAATTATGGTCATTAAGAAGGAGAAAATAGGAAGCAATCAATGCGGCTATAGTCACCACTTTCTTTCTTTCGACCGGCTAAAGAAATTCACTTAAGGGAGAAGCTTTCCCAACCAAAGCACCAAATTACTTAGTTTAAGCGTTGCCCTTTGTATGGGACGGAAGTTTACATTTGTCGTCACAAATTTATCTGGTCCTCCTTTTCGTTCTATTATACTACCTCGTAATTCTCGACTGCCCGAACAAACAATATTTCGCTCTTTTCCATACTCCTATACACATATAGCATTAACTCCTTTCTCTTGAGACATGTACCCACATACTTGAAAGTCTTTAGACCAACGAAACAAGGGGCATTGAACCACTCGTGTACGTAGGCTCCAATGTTAAAGAAGTCCCCTAAAATCATTTCCATTCTGGTGCCATAACTCCAATTTGTCAAGATTCTTGGAAGATGATACTGGCTAGAATCACACAACCATCCAAAGTAAGATCTACCGTAATGTAGTTGAGGAAATAGCATTGTCATTTTGGCGGTAAAATAAATCAGAATTTTGTTGCCCATCAAGCTTTCATACCTTCATAAATAGACACAGGTGTGCGTGTAGCCGTATGCATCTGTATACTTGCTTGTTTGCATAAACTGATGAATGTGCAAATCTCAGCATCTGTACCAACAATCACATGCGAATTCCATAAGTCTTGCTCTGCAGACCGGCACGTATCCAGAGGCCGGAGTGTCTTTAGAGGTACCTGGCGGGCAAACTCAGGCCTTCAATACTCAGCCCTGGCCTTCATGAAGGTGGGAAATATCGCCTGGTTTTATTGCTCTGAAAATTAGGCTACACTGCCCAGGCTTAAGGTGAGCGTATGTATTGCTTAGTGTATGTTAACGTTTGTGTGCATAAAAACGGCTAAGGATAGGGTGTTATGGAGAATGAGGGGGGGGACTTTTTGAGGAATGCTTATAAAATAATAAAAAGAGAAGCAAAAGAATGAAAAGGAAGGCTGAGAAGAGCAGACCAAAGTGGAGAGGTTAGAGTAAAATGCGTATAGCTGGAAAATGCGAGGAAATTGGTGAGAGGTGATGAGAAGATAGGCTGAGTTGGAATGAAGAAGTATTTGTATATGGAGCTAATAGAAAAAATGGCTGACAAATAAAAGGAGAATGAGCTGTTAATATATAGTTAAGGGGAAAACATAAGTTGGCTTAAGAAAGTCAGGGGTGGAAGGGAAATGGAGAGCTAGACAGAGAGTTTATTTGGAACAATGCCCTCTTGGCAAAGCGAAAGCAGTTTTTAGGCGAGGAGCAGGGCGACAGGGGCATGGGAGACTAGATGAGTAAGAGCCAGAAGGTACCACTGGGGCTTGTTGGGAAGTGATGAAAGTAGTGAGAGAGATTTCGCGGCAAAATACTCAAGAAGTCAGAGTACCGGGGCAAATGAAGAAGAGGCTTGGCCAAAGAATGGGAATTGATGCTGGGATCGAGCGAGTGCTGGTGGGAGCAAGGGTTCTGAAAGGGTGGAAAAAAGGTTGTAAAGCGAAGACAGGATACCGGATCGGACAGGCTGAAAGTAGGCCAGAAATGGGATCTGATGGGAGGCGCGAAGTTGCACTACTGAAAGAGAAGTAGCTTTGTACGAAGTAGATGGAAGAGATAATGGAACTCGAGTGACCTGATTGTGAGGCTCGGGTTCAGGTGAAAATGCAAAATTTATGTACGAGAACAGCACACGAGAGCGAAACGACATGCCCTGGCTGTAGCCCACCTTCGGCTAAGCGACATGAGATAAGAAGATGAGGTATTCACTGGGCTGCGTTCGTCGTCGAATGACTGTTGACAGGCGTAGCTAGGACTGATAATACAGCGATGACAGGTTAGCGCTTCTGGTCTCCAGGCCATGTAATTGGACGGCGCCGAAGCATCCCCATGGAATAGGGCGGAAAGGCCAGCGTTGAGAGTTTGTGTGCCCGTGTCGGCGGTGAAGGGGTTGACAGAGTGCGTGTGCGCGGGTATCTGTGGCTCGCATGTGCATAAAAGGTGGTTGGAGTTGGGACGACTGTTGCAAGAGTGTATCGGTCTTGTAGTTCGATCCTCATCCTCTTACAAAAAGCATAGGCGGTAGGAGAACACAGTACAGGGCAGATGATCGTGACGGAGGAACTGATTAGATCTGATTTGCCCCACTAGCCGGT